TGTGCTTCAGCCTTATTAGGTTCCAATTTCACAGCAAAAGAAAATAGACAAAATTCTGCCCTCATTAACATTTTATCATAGTCTGTTCTTTTAAATATTTATTTTTTAGTTATAGATGGACATAATACCTTTATTTTATTTTTGTGTGGTGCCGAGGATCAAACCCAGTGCCTCATGCAGGTTAAGAGAGCATTCTACCTCTGAGCCACAACCCCAGAAATTATCACTGAGTTAGTTGAAGTCAGAGCAAGGCTTTTGAATCTTTTCATCCCCAAAATATAGCCTCTGATTTGACATCCAGTGGGTTTTTCACCCAGGACACATGCAGGATCACTGAGATGTTATGCAGTGCATTGGACTTAGGGGGTCCAAAGACACTGGAACTAACAATGGCAGTTTTGGCTCTGTAAACTAAAGCTGGAACAAGAAATGCTTTCCTACTAAACTAATCCAGTTTTTAGGGGTAGAAAGAGAAACTTTATAGCCAGAGGATAGAAGGATACAAGCAATTTGAGAGCATCAGCAACAGCCAGAAAAAGAAGTAAGGGATAAAATTAAGGGGCACCGAGTAAAGTTATTGCATGGCAGGAAACAAACAAAACCCCTAAAATTAATAAAATAATGTTTTTATTGTTCATCTATTATGTGCAAAGTATATTGCTGGCCATGGTGGGTGAGTTTTGATCTGTAAGCCTCATCCCAGCTTATACAATCACTCAATGGAGAAAATTCCTTAGCAGCTTATCATATATGATGATGTATATGATAATATATATTCATATGTGTATGTGTATATATATACACACACTCATGTATATGTATGTATTTACACACACACACCACTATATATGTATATACATATGTGTATATATTTATACACACCCTCTACCACCCCCCACCCTCCCGAACTATGAGCATTTCCACAGAAATGCTCTGAAAGAAGTATCTCCCAAACTAGATAGGTGTAAAATGTTCTCGGATCCACCTTGTCTATTCTTGTACTAAGGGAAGGTCTCTCTTGGTCACAACATTTGATGGAAAAAAAGAGGAGATACTTATGGTACTATTGGTTGCAATTAGGTCCAGGGTCCTCTCAGGGTTGTAAATCAGAGGCAGATAGTACCCCATACCAACAAGGGGAAAAAAATAGAGAAAAACCAATTTTCTTGTGGTATCTAGGGTCTGCTTTGTGGTACTATTTTGAGGAGCCTTCTGGGACAATATTTTATTATATATTTTTATGGAATAATTTGCATTAGGTTAAATTTATATGGCCCCAGGAGTGACTGTAGGACATAATCCCTGATTTCCAGGATAAACAGCTAAAATAAGAGATAAAATAAGTACAAAGCAAGGTGTCCTGTGAGGAAGAACTTCACATTAGACACAATTTATAACTTACAAGTTGCTTCAAGGTAGTATATTACTTTAAAGGAGAGCTGTGCACTAGAAAGAATTTTTTGAACAACCCCTATAGTCGCCTGAATGCAAGTAGCTGAGCAACTAATATTGTGGGGTACAACACTATTTTCCCTAACCTTACGGGTCTACTCTTTCTCTTTATGGTAACTTTAGCAATATGGAAAATATTACTTATTGAACAAGTTCCACATATTTTGCCAAAAACATTATCTACATTATCACTGGGCCTCTTGATCCCTCCAGGTCCAGTCCAGTGTTAACTTCTTTGATCCATAACCCTATGACAAAAGCTCCAAGCTATATTAATATTTCTATTACTAGTTATTAAATGATAGTTAATAATGCTCCACTCATTCTGTTTAGTCTTTTAATGCAGTACACCTCATTCTGCAGTCTGTTTTCTGGCTGCCCTACTACAGATTGAACTTGGTAAGAGCATGGGCCATATTTCACTTCAACTTCCTAAACATTCAGTAGTTTCTAAATGTCTGTTGAAGTGGAGTTTGTAACTCCAAACTCACTAGAGAATCATTCATGGAATTTTTGAGCAAGACTTGCAAACTTTGATATGTTTTCCTTTTGCATATAAGAAAAATTAAGCTAGAACATCTTTTATGAGGTCACATAAATTTGTCAGAATGAGGATTAGAATCCAGTTCCCTTACTTTTTTCAATACTGTTTCTTCTATAAAAGATGCTACTAAAACACAACTAAATATTTTTATTTCCCAGTCTCTTGGCCCCCCTCAAATTCTACCAGCAATTGGCTTTCGGGTCTTCAGGCTAAATCTGTGACAGTAAATTTCCTAAAATAACTCACCTGTTATGGTTTAGATGTGGTGTCCCCCAAAATCTCACTGGTGAGGCAATGTGAGGAGGTTTGGAGGAAAAATGATTGGGTTATAGCCTTAACCTAATCAGTGAATTAATCCCTGATGGGATTAATTGAGTGGTAACTGGAGGCATGTGGCTGGAGGAAGTGTCTTACTGGGAGCATAGCTATGGGATATATATTTTGCATCTGGCAGTGGAGCTCTCTCTGCCTTCTGATCACCTTGTAAGCCGTTTCCCTCTACCACACCCTGGGCCATGATGTTGAGCCTCATCTCCAGTTCTGAGGCATGGAGCCTGCTCTCTGTGGACTGAGACTTCTGAAACCAAGAGCGCCCAAATAAACTTTTCCTCCCCTAAAATTGTTCTGGTCAGATCTTTTAGTCACAGCAGAGAAAAAGCTGACTAAAACATCACTTATACCATATAGAACAGTTTCCCATGCCAAACAAAGCAATGCCCAAACTCTAGATTAGCTGGCTGTTGCTGTGGTATCACATAGTGTAAAGTTGGGGGAATCCTCTTCTTAGTTTTTACCACTGAAGTCGTCCCACAAAGTACTCTTTAATCCATCCAAATCAAAATGTTTGGCCACACACAGACCATATTCTTTCTTGAGAGAGTAGAGGCTTTCTTCCTATTCATTCTGGAGTGGAATATCCTTCCTTCTTATCAACCTGGTGAACTTTAATAATCTGTTCTAATCAGAAGTGGAGAGATCTGGCTTTAGATCATAGTAACTGAATGAAGAAGTTGGTGTGTCTAGCACTTAGCAGCCTATACCCTCAGTAATTTTCACTGAATGACTTTCCCTCTGGAAAGTTACAGAAATATAACTTATTATTCAGAGTTGTGAGCAACCCTTTACCAAAACTTTTCTATTTGGAGGAAAAATAGTATGTCGGCTCACTCAGTCTTTTCTTCTTTCCCTTAACTCTGGTTCATCTATCATGACTGCCATTCTCACTTCCTCTATGTGTACTTCTCATTTTCCCAGCACCACTGCCCCTGGATACTTGTGGGAGAGGAATCCACAAATTCCTTTGAGGCTCTATCACTAGAACAAGTTCTCAGTAGCTGGAGATCAGGGAGGCAAACAGGAAGTTTTTGTACTTCCACTTACTTTGTGCCTGGGGCCAAAACTTTGGAGCCCACCTGAAGAGTCTGCAAAAAGGATGATAGAACGAAACTAACCTTTCCTATCCACATTAAAGCTTTTCTCTGTGGACGTAGTGACCCAGCGTCATGCCTACCCTGATGTTTCGCGTGCAGGGCAGAACTGTCCTGTTGAAAAGTGTCAGGCTATAGCCCCCCCAAACTCTCCGCCTCCACTTCTTAAAATCTTGGGCGGGACATTTTAAAAAGTGTTGTTCTGGATTCTTTAAGTTTCAAAGCATCCGAAGGGCAGTCCCCTTTGCAGTGACAGTTGCAGTCTGTGAGGTAAAGATAAGCAGAGGCCAGTCCCCAAGTCTCAAAATCCTTTTTACCTTCCTTCAAGCCCACGACCCATCCTGCCCCTTCCTCTAGCTCACATGAAGGGTCAAGGGTAGCTTTCCTCAGCTTGCGTGCCTGGCTTCCTCAACAACACCCATCAGTCCTCAGTCTCCCAGGACAGCCAGGAACTCCCAACCACACGCCCAGGGCCCTTGCCAGCGGTGCGGGCCCAGAGGTGCACGGCGCCCCACCGCAGGCAGAGGGAATGCGGCCAGCCCTCGGGGGCGGGTAGTCCAATGGGCAGCCTGGCCCCGGAGGCGGGCCCAGGCCGGAAGCCACCCCGCGGCACAGCGGCCCCGCGAGACGGCGCCCGCGCCCCCGCCTTCTTCTGCACGGGCTCCGCGGCCAAGGGCGCAGGGGCCAGCCCGCCGGGTCCCCGCCGCGCTCTTTGTCCTGGCCGCGCGCGGGCGGACGCGTGCGCCCCCCGGGTGAAAGGAGGCGCGGAGAGAGCGAGCGGGAGCGCGCGGGAGCAGCTCGCCCCCGCCGGGCGCCGGCGGCGCGCGTCCCTCCGCCAGGCAAGCAGCGAGCACGCGCGCCGCCGCCGCGCCCGCCCCTCCCCCCGCGCTCGCCTCGGAACTTGCTGACTGCGCGGCCGGGAGGAGCCGAGCCGGGCGGCGGCGGCGGGAGGCCACAGCGCGCGGGGGTCTCCCGCGTCCCCTCCGCCTCGCCGGGAGCTCGCGCCCTCGCCCAGCCGAGCTCCC